TTTTGGGGTTTTTATACCCCACTGCCAAAGTTTACCAAACTTAACTGAAACATGTTTTTCCACAATGCTATTAAAGTTATAAGGTGAGAAAAACGGCTTGTATGTTAGCTAACACCACAAATACTGTAGCTCACAACCTGGTTGTAGCGCTAAGTTAGCTTTAACTTATATACTGTAGCTATAACAAAAAAAGTGCTAAATAAAAAATACAAATGAGCACAAAGTGCTTAAATTGAACAAAATGCCACTAAAAGTAGCTAAAAACATTAGCCTAAAAGTTCAAAATAGTTATCCAAAAAGATTGATAAAAATATATTTGGATTACTTTTAACAGGGTTTTAAAAGTATTTCAAACGGTAAAAAAAAAATCTAAAATATGGATTTATTTGTTCCAGAAGTTGTCCAACAGTCAAGGACATTGTACCTTCTCTGCGCCTCACTTTCATCCGAGGACGGCCCATTTTGGCGCTGAACGACTGGACCTGGAAAACACACATTATGACAACAATCAAAGCCGTCTAGCAATGGTGCATTACCATGTCTGACCCCTAGGACCAAAGAACCTGCCAGAAATAGATGAAGCCACTTAGTTTTAGAAGTAAAACCCGAAATGATTCCTAACATCAAATTTTTTCCTGAGGTCTTCACAGTCTCAGATGTTTTTAGATATGTCTTCATGTACATTATATTTGGCTACTGAACCAGAACCTGTGAAAAAAGATAGCCCAATGACCATGTTCTGAAACATTAAGTTTACATAATAAATATGGGAGAAATGTTATACATTCTTTTAAAAGCATGCCTATTTAAACCATACATTTGTGTTTTTAATATGCTCAAAATATCAGGACTAATACTATGCTACATAAACGAACAAACGACCTTCTCTGTGGGTGGTCTTTCTGCAATTCCTGCCCTGTGTTCCACTAAACAGGCACTGGTTTCACACGAGTTAGTAAACTGTAAATTAAATTAAACTTGTAGATCATTATCTCTCGTTACATATACTTTATACTCAGCTTGTGTTCTTCCTTATGTTTTTTACTGATACTATGAAACTGTTAAGTATTAAAAACAGCTTGGTTCTTAAAATAGATTGGAAAAATCTGAGGTGGATTGTAAATAAAAATGAATACACCGAGTATCTGGCAAGGTGACATCAGCTCACCACAGAACACTGGTTAACTGCTGGTGTTGAGTGTCAAACAGCTAACGATTGCCTCACTTGTTGACCGACTACAGAGAGGATTTGGCCTTCAACCCCCATGTTTTAAAGCCTCATTCTGGGACTGCTATTAACAGGGAAGCACCATGGAAACCACTGATCACATTTCAGCAGAATACCAGTCATTAAAACTTCAGCACCCGCAGTGACATCCAACATGGGTGATATTTCCGTTCTCGGTGCCTGGGGCATGGGGGGGGGGGTGTCTGATTGGATGATGGCAGTCAACATGAGTCAGAGCTGCAGTTTGAAACAGTTTGGATCACAGCCATCTCTGACCTAACTGAACAGCCTGGATCACAGCCATCTCTGACCTAACTGCACTGTATTGAGTGTAATCAGCTGCCAAATTAAACTGATTTAAATAAAGGCATTTTTTTCAGGGAGGATGTGATGGAAGTCACTACATGTGACTGATGTTAGCAGTCAGACAATTAAACAACATCAATTAACTTACTTCTAACTTCTCAACACCCTGCAGTCACCAAACTTTATTAATATCCTTTATCACCCAAACCTACTGTAGATCCATTTCATAAATTCACATACAAGACATTTTTTTCATCATTATAATCCAATACAACAGAACTTCAGAACTGAGGATGCCTCTTGGATGAGAGGTTAAATATCTTCAAGAAGCCCAAGCCAAACCAGATGGTTAATTTTTCTCTTTTATTTTACTCAGAATGAAAGAACCTGGGTGACTAAGAACATTCACAGCTATTCCTTCAGTTTGTTCTCTCAACGTCAATGGTTGCCTCAACTCTTTCTTTCTCTGCTGTCATTGTTACGTGGACCCAAATGCAGCACAAAGGAGACTCTCTTCAGGTGCTGCAGGTTTATTAACAACGTGCAAAAACAAAACAAAACTCACTTGGTCACAGGAACAAGGCATAAACTACAAGGCTTGGACCTTTCCAAGGCATGAACCTCAAACATGGCCCCAAACAGCACAACACAAACTGACCAATGATCCCACAAAAACAGAGAAAGGGAGAGGTATGGGCACCAGGTGACACGAGTGAGACTGATGACAGAGACACAGGTGGGTGTGATGACACTAACAAACTTCCTTTGAACCTTCTCATTTCAACAGCAAATTCATCTGTTTTCTCTCTACTATCCAGACGGAACACAACACATTTTCTTGTCAGTTTCCTGCACTTATATATATAAAAAAACCCCAGATCAGTTAATGCACAACCTTTTATTTCTGACTTCCTTGTTTGTTTTTTTATTGACATTTTGGCCTTTGGTCTCCACACTGACAAGTTTCTTAGTGTTTAAAATATTAACTGAATTTATCACTCAGGTTGATAAGTTTAAGTTTAACTTTAAGTTTAAGTTTAACAATGAAAACCCGAGGCATTTTATGCTGATACTGGAAAAGAAGAATGTGCAATACCTGACCTGATTGGTGGATTATTTTCTTGTGCCTCTGTGTAAAGAAGACTCTGACTCTTCTCTGAACTCTTGTGAACTTGTAGTAATTAAATGCTCTGCTGACAAAGCTACACACTAAATTTAGCAAATATTCACATGGTTAAAAACAACAAGAGTGGATACTGTTGTCAATATTAATTTGCTTTCATCATCCAAAGAAGCAATGCTGATCTGGATTAAGACTAGAAATAAAAAGATGTTGATAAATGCCTAAGCCGCCTTGGTAAATTCCTTACCAGTGTTAACAAAGTTTTTTATTAATCGTTATAAAAACATGACAGAGACACAACAATGTCTAACATAACAATGTTAAGACGTAGCCGCAGCAGTAAATACAAGATGCTGCCTCTACCTGCTGTCTCTGCCGAACCCGCAACAACAATGACACTGCTGACATTAATGATGTCAGCAACATGTGGTGGAAACAATTATGTTGCAGTCGCTGCATCCTCTGCTGCGTTGTGTTTCCAAGCATGTGTTTTAACCATGTGTCTTTTCTGCAAACGTGATGCAAAACACAGGCCTGTTCCCAGAGTGAAGGTCAAGGAAAAAGTGGAAGCTCACGGGACCCGGGGGCCTGATCAGACTTGTAAGCATTTTGTCTGGATCTCTGGAGGCTGCTCCATGTGTGTGTGTTTGTAGAGCGTTCTTTATGTGGTCTGAGAAAAGACAGTTTTGTCTTACTTATTATTCTATTGTCATTGAATCTTAAGTAGAAAAGAATCAGACTGTCAAGTTTAATACATTTATTAAATTGTGAAGAACAATGAGATTTAAAGTTTAACGCATTGTACATTTTTTTTCATTGCGCTAATACACTGTCGCAAGACTGATTGATTATTATTGTTGTGGTTTCGCAACTCTACAACCATTCTACTAGCCACCATTTATATGTGGAGTTTGAGGTCCACCAATACTTAGAAGCTCTTATTTAAAATATAATACAAAAAGCAAAGAATACTTGATTATACACACAGGTTAAGCCAGTTAAAAAGGTTGTGTGTTTGGATAAAGGATAAACTAAATAGTGCAGCAAACAAACTAAGTAAACAACTAGCCTGGAGGGTATGGACAAAACAGCTAAAAGAACATTTAAGACAATCAACCATGGTCTGTTAGCTTAATGCTAGCCAAATAATAAATATAGCAAATGGATCCAACAAGTGAACAGCATATCCTGCTAAAAAATTACACCTAAGAAAGATATTGGTGCATAAAATACTCACAATTATAGCTTTATCTTATTCTACTTCATTTTTGGTACATTATATATATAAATATATTCTCTTACAGTTAGCATGTACCTCTAGCTTTTCTTTAAATGGTATTTGCAGTAATAAAGTATTCCTGACTCCTGTTAATATTACAATATCCAAGTGCCACGACTGACAGAAGGTCCAGACACTGAAGGAGGCATGTAGTAACTTTAATACTTTACTGGTGAGAAGGTTACTTCATTATATGACACCATACATAAAACGTAACACTAATCACCAACTGCCGCCAAGCAGTGACTGCTAACACTGGACACATGCATGTCTTACTGAGGACGATGACGGCGGAGGAGACCTGTCTGAAGACGCCAGGTGAGACCTCTTTAATCAACATAGTCAGAAAACGCCAGTTTCCATCGACACCACGGATGGATTCAAAACCCACACGCCATCAGCGGTGTACTTCCAGATAAACAAGACCCCGCGACATAAACAAGAGAACAGTAGCGGTTTCACACCGACACGGACACTTTCTATGATCACACCAAGACGCCCAAAAAAGTCACGCTGCCCTGGGAGGACGGGGAGGGTTCCGAGATTAAGGTTCCATAAGTGATATTTTAGCCACCGATGGTCAAGTCACAAGGTACGGGGGTGGTGTGGGTGCGATGACACCTCAGTTAAATGCTCTAAAATATTCTCTCACAACTTATAAGTAGCTCGTAACCAGAGCTGCTCGGACGCTAAGTAGTAAACTTAGAGTAGATGGAGTTTACCCAATGGATATAAATGATTAGATAGCATTTTTGGGTAGCAATGAGGCTAATTTCATGCCCCGTTTGCTTCACCTTAATCTGGAGCTTAGAGAAACACATTTACCACCAATAACTTCGAGTGTTTTCCGTGTGCAGTATGACAAAAACATTTTCAAAACATGTCTTAGTCAACTTTGTATTACTGTATATTACACTTACCTTCATACACAGGCAGTTTCGTTGAAGAAAATACGGTTGTTAAATATATAACATTTGCTTTCGCTATCGATATGGACTATTTATTTTTCTTTCCGTTCGTTTCTTTTCATTTCGCAAAAACGTTATTAACTGTTTTTTATTAGTTGTCTAGGTGCCGAAAGAGTAGCTGTAATACATTTTACTGGCCACCAGAGGGTAGTGCAGCTTAGCTTTGCAGCTGCGATCCTGACTATATTGTCTCTCGTATGCATTTCTCGCTTGAATTGGATCTTTTCATTTTTCAACCGGCGCTTACTATTTTTTATTAAAGTAAATGTTTAGTTAACAGAGTTAACACAGTAATGAAGCAGAAGTCTGACTAAAAAACAGAAAATTGATTAAACCTGAAGATAATAAAACAGCCTCTGATTCTCTGTAGGTTTGAAAAAATCTTATGACCTGAGACGAAACTGTGAACCACTAACAACTAAAAAAGTTAATAATGAGGATATAATAGTGGTGAAATAAACAAGATGCTAATATGAGTTACTAGAAATGTTAGGTGGCCTCACCTCCACTGTCAGGTGAGCTGAGGACATTGAGAGCGAACAGCATGGCGTTGGAGAAAGTCGTGGCCTCCTCCTTACTGGCGAAGTTGAGCCCGTAGACCTGACGAGCATCACGCCACTGGTGGAAGGTGGGAGTGGCCTGATTGTATTTCAGACCCTTTACTATGGAGTAGTTTATCACCACCTACAGTGGGAGAAAAGAGGGCATTAATATAACTACATTTGATCTGTAGAAAGACTTGTAACTTGTATGTAACTCTTGTGTTTAGTAACTAGCGTTACTAACTAGTGGTGAAATAGTGAAGTACAGGTCAGCTGTAGATTTAGTTTCATTGTAACCTAAAAAACAGGTATATTTTACACTACACGGAAATTTAAATTAACTTTGTTTTAACACCAGATGTCTAACACGATGCAACCATACATGGGATTTGGGGACTAAGTTGCAATGGGACCCGGAACTTTCTGGAACCTAAATAAAAAAGTCTAGTTTACATATATATGGCCAGTTGTTGCATGGTATAGACTGCTTAGTGGAGAGACGTGATGCTCAGTGTTACCTGCTGGTCCTGCAGTTTGACTCCCACCACTCTAAAGGTGTTGTTGGCAGTGTTGTGGTAGATGTTGATGCGACTGAATCCCTGCTGCCCGGGCTTGATGGGCACCCACTTTTTACTGGCGTCATCGTACACCATGACAGAGGCCCGCGCCTGGCAGATGCTCTGTTCACTGCAACCAAACAAGAGAGGAAACAGACATTTAGGAGAATTAAAAAAAACAAAACATATTTTATACCATAGGAGAAAAAATGTCAGAGGAATTTATGAAATCTCACTTTGAAAGTAATTATTCCAACATTGGTCACAAAAGCCCACAGTTTAAAGTTATCATGTTATGTGAAAAAAACGGCTTCCTGAGAAAACAGGCCACTGGAGATTCAGGAGCTTTTATTACAGAGATGCTCTGCTGCCCCTCCTTCTGTTAAATGTGCTGGTGGTCAATAAATTAGAGCCATTTAAAGAGTTAGTGTGTAATTATATGCACAATTATACACAAGCGACCACTTTAGGGTGAAGACGCACACGCCGGCCCTGCGGGACTCTCACGTGCACTGAGGAGAGTGTGGTCAGCAGGGGCGGGGGTGAATTGCTCCCTCCCTCCCTGCTGCCCTTTACTGTGGTGCAGGGACATCGTTATAGCGTGTGAGGAAACGTACACAGGCCTCAGTGCGGAGGGGTGTGCACGATGTATCCACTAATGACACAGTGTGTGCAATAGTCCACGTCTTTGATCAGCGTTTGGTAGAAAGTCATACATCGCACACACACACACGTGGCTGCCGACTTGTGCGGCTTCATCACGCTGCTAACTGTCCTCCTGCGCGTAGATACAGCCTGAGGTGACAGAAGTTCACATCAGACCGGATGAAACGTGTTGTTTGTTGTTTGTGACTGCTGCTCTCACCTCAGACCTTCGTGTGCCTGAAGGTGTGAACGCTGCGCTGATGAGAACACGCTGTGATGAAGTCAGGCTGCAGACCCTGTGAATGTGGCTAAAAGGTTTTTCACATTTTCACCTTGTACACACATCAGCAGCCTCGGGGTGTGAGAGTCTGCTTTAATATCTGCACTACATCTAAATAGATGTAGTGAGAACTAGGGGTCTGCTAGAAAGAAAGAAGAAAAACACCAGACCACCAACCTCCAACCTCATCCACATAGTAGACCAGTATTTATATATACTAGTTTACCTTAAATTATTTGCTCAATAAAATCAAAGAAATTACATGAACGTTTTTTTTTCTTTTCCACAGGGCCATATATAAGATTAAAAAGTCATTTCACCAACGCCAATTAACTTTATTGTCGGTCTTCGTGTTTTTAGACAATACTATTGAACCAGAAACGCTGGAAAAAACCCTTTGTCCAACCAGAGAGAACACGTAATCTCCACACAGGAAGACTGTTGTTCAAACACTACAACACCATGTGCTGCTCAGTCTAATTTAATTTAGAACCTTGACCTTTTGCCCTCTGGGGTTGTGACCGTTTCCTGTGACTGATTAGGACACATGTTCAGGGGACGGACATAGGTTTCTGCCCCCCTTAGGATGAAATCCCTCTGTTTGACAGGCTGCCTGGCAGGTGAGACACCTGAGAGACTAACTCCCCACTGACTCTCAGACAGTTTCCTCCCAGTGGTGTTGCCATCACTGGTTCTTGTCCCTCTGTGGTTGTTCAAATCATCTCATCACTGGTCATTAGTAATGACTTCACATAAAAACTGCATCAGTTCATTACACAACATTTGAGGCGCAAATGGAACAAAGAAGAAGATCAATGTAGACGAGGCTCAAATGGAACAAAGAAGAAGATCAATGTACCTTGTATGAATGGACAATTATCTTGGTATAATAAGAGGATATTAACACGTTAATGTCAGCTATATTAGTCTGGTTATTAGACAGAATGCAATAAAGACAGTTTTAGTTTGAGCTGCACAGTATTTAAAAAAATAATAACTTTCTTAAAGGAGAAGTATGCCGTTTGGTTCAGTCATCTGTGTCAGTCAACACTGAGTATGTAGATTCCCTTCCATAGCCTCTAGGTGGTGCTAAGTATGAGTTTGAAAGCCCTATTCTATTGTTGGGTGCATTGTTTATACAATTGTCCTGTAAACTCAGTCATAATATATAAAAAAATCTGAAAAAGGCTGAAAACTATGCACATGGTGCTGATGGTCTTTGTTTTAATGTTCTAAAACATGGAGGGAGTTGTCAGGGTTGACCAATAACACCTGCCCTAACCTAATGTCAGCTGGGATTGGCCACAGCTCTCTAGTCTCATGGCAGAAGATTAATGAATAAGGACATGTAGCATGTAGCGTGTTAGCAATCTGCTAGTTTGTATGAGCAGTGTTTTAATGGTGCCTGTTCACATAGCAAATTAGCAACATAAATTTTGGTTATACTTGTGTAGAGGTCAGATCTACCCCTGGTTGGTACATGCTAATAATGCTAACACTCTCAGCCTTGCTTTAGTGTCATATTTAAATCTTTTGAGTTGAAATACTGGATATATTTCCCACTGGTAAATGTTTGATCAAGAAGACGTCCCATTCACTTGCAGCCAAAAGAAGAAAAAAAACCAAGAACCTACTGACAGGGTGTCTTCATTTGAAAGACTACTGGTTAGCTTGGTCATTGTTTCACAATAAATAAATATTGTACTTTGAAATTCAGAACCTGAAGTTTTTAGTTAACAGTCAACAGTTCCAAAGCCAAAACTTAATCCTAAACACAATTATTTTTAACAATATCCATGACATTAATCATTAGGGCAGAAATAAAAAGCAGTCTGAAAATTTGGGACAACCCAACTACAAATTTAGACATTTCTTACACAAGTTAAACTGACTCTGTAATCACACACGGGAGCTTCTCTCAACTTCAGGGAACCACACACCACCGGAGAACCACACACCAGCAGGATCTCACTGGGAACAGGACGGAGGAGGACCAGGGAGGCCGCTGCATTTTAGTGATGGATCTTCTTACAAAAACAGACCCTATTTCTGGACGTGTTCAGGTCAGAGGGATGCAGAGACTCAAACCAATGCTGACGGTTTTAGTTGAAGCAAGCAGAGATGAAGTGGGAGTCGTCACATCTACTCCCTCTGTCCATGAAGCACGCAGCTCAGTCAACACGTCATGAGATAATGGTGGTGGTGGTGGGGATGAAAGACGAGAAGGGACGAGTGGTCTGATGTAGAATGTCTCCATTCACCAGGAGCACTTAATTAGACCTCAACCCCCAATATCAGCTTCAGCAGTTGAAAAACAGCTCTGTGTGACTAGGACGGGGAACCGTCCTGATCACATGACAAGAGATGAGACGAGGCACAGTGGGCCACATGATTCACAGCTGAAACTAACGACTTCAAAGAAAATCCAGAGGGCATTGTTTGGTCAGTGTTTGGTGTTGTTGGCCTTTAGAGGATGAAATGAAGACGAACAACAAACTGTGTTGTATCTCTCTCTCTCTCTCTCTCTCTCTGTGTGTGTGTGACAAATACAGTACTATCACAGAATTATATGAAGAATCAAACTCAGAAACTCAAACAAGAACAAATTGAAGGTCAACCTGAAGCAGTAGAAACAGTGTTTACAATGTTTCTCAGAGGGAAACACGATAACAGAGTTTTCTTCTCTTTTCTCAGACATCAGTGTTATGTCGTTTTTAGTTAGTATGTTGTTACCATCATAGCATTGCTCACTCATACTTAGTTTGAATTGGTAGTTAACCTTGACATGTTTCGACTAAGATCTCGGTAATTAAGGTGATTAAAAACAGGATGACATGATATGACTTAAATATGTGACATTTAGTGTTCATTAAAGGTGCAGTACACATGCTAACCTATGAAACTAAAAGGGAACTCAATCCCCTTAGTCATTGTAGTGGGTCAAAGGAAATATATATATATAGACACTGTATTCATCAATTGTTATTCTACTCTTTCTACAGGGCATATTATAGACAATCATTTAGCAATGGAAAACATACTCAGTAGGTGGCAGTAATGTAACTTTTGAAAGCAAAGCTGCCAGACCAGAGTCCAAAGAAGAAGTCACGCAGAGGGTATTAGCAACATTAGCACACATTTAAAAAAAATTAAATCAATGGAGTGAAGAAATCATGTATAAAAATATCATGTCTAGCCACCCATAGATGAGAAGAGATCGTTTTGTCTGTGGCCTGAAGGCTACATTCCTCAATAGCCCTGGAGGGTTAGCAATGTCAGCAATTTCCTGTGTAAACAAGAACTGTACAGCAGATCAGCAGCGATCACGCATCAACATCCATAAAGAATTTGACCAAGGTTCGTTTGAAGAGTTTCCTGTTAGCTAATATTAGCGTCGACTGACGGTGTTTCACTTTAGGCGGCTCAACTGGTTTAAACCTTGTCATGTATTCTATATTCCATCTTTAAAAATGCATAAGCACTAACTCACTGCTCATGAAGAATGATAATAAAAAAGAAACACTGTTGGATTTTGTGACAAAGATATGCAAAACAATTTAAAAAGAATTATTTAGATTTTTATGGTCTTTAGCTGAAATTGATGATCTTGTCTGCTTCTACTTCCAGGAAAGCAGGATCAGCCTGATTCGACTTGGCCATTAACTCCTGTCTGAGCATTCCTCCTTGTTTTTGCTGGATGTTGCCGATTTCTCAGAGGAGGGCTGAATAATATTAATTTCAAAAAGCAGCAAAGAGAAATGAGGAGAGAAGAGACCCAAAAGCAAGGAGAGATTTAAAGGAAAAAAAAAGTGGGGAGGATATGAAGGCTGCTGCCACACTCAGCGCTTCTTCAAGTTAAAAAAGCCTGGTAGGCAAACGGTGAAAAGGAGGCCACATTCCCAGGCTTCTGAATAAAGCAAAGCACTTCCCTGCACACATGGTTAGACATATGCGCCTCCTCTCACCGCCTTCACCCGCGCGTACACACCACACATATAAATGTACACCAGGAAGGAGTGCGATGCCTGTGTTTTGTTTCAGATCATTAGTAGAAGAAAGAATGTTTGAATCTGATCCAGGCTCATTTGAAATCCAGCAGCTGAACAGAGGCGGAACAGTGGATGGATTGAAGCAAGGAGAGGGTTTTTTCCCCCCAAACGTTTTTATGCTGCTGGTATTTTTTTCAAGAAGACCTGAATAAATAAATCAGTCAACATGTTATTATGGAGGGTCCAGGATCGTAGGTGGAAGCATCAACAAAGACTACAAAAAGACTCAAAACATTTAAAAGACCAGGACTTGAACTTACTATTGCTGTCTCCCAACCCGCCTGATACACATGGTGCACTATATAGGGGGCACGCCTTTTTGAGTAGTGTCCGAATGTTAAGTGAGTGAAGTTGTCCACTAAAAAGGGCACTCAACGTATCCCACAATGCACTGTGAAATATAGTGTATAATGTCCATTCAATGTACACTACTCAATATATCCCATCATGCATTGCAGTCGTGATGACAAGGCGGAGAGACGAGCGGCGTCCGTCCATCTGTTTTAATTGTGCAACAGTAATGACATAATTAACTGCGCGCCGAAGTAGTGTCCAAAACCGATTTTCTTTTAACCAGTGAGTCCACTATATAGTGCGCTATATAAAATCCCCTATAGAGGGAGTAGGAAATGAGTGAGTGAGTGTGGAAGACAGCCTGTAAGACACTACTATCACATGCATACCTGAGAAACCTAGTGGTAAAGCTGAGCTAAGAAGCAGTATGCATTATTACAGTAATAGTAATTCAATTTTTCCACAGATGCATGGCTTCGCCATAAACTAAACACCGCTTCTTTGGGATTCTAGAAAACAGAACTTTCTAAGGACATTAGCTGAAAAAGTCTCCCTAGAAGTGCGTGGCCATCTGTGCGTCTTTGTGCTCCTTTATTGATGTGTTATACAGGTGCAGGAACCAGAAGACTTTCCCACAAACCTCTACTGAGAGGACCCACACTGTGCCATAAGGACTGGCACTAAACTCTACATCATCCATGACACCAATAAACACAAGCCCAGAACACATGACAGGGTCACGAAGGTTGGGCCGTACTCAGAGCAGGGGATCAGTCAAATACTTGGCTAGTCTGCCGGTGCCAGTGTCGACGAGTGTATTTATCCATGTGTTGTCCATCATAGTCAGCTGTAAACAGACACAGTGTGTGTCCTCCAAGTACAGGTCATAGGTCAAGGCAAGACGTGCAACTCATGTATCTGAACTATCTGCTGTGGTGAGTGTCACCTGTGGCCACAGACGTTGACACTGAGCAGACACTGCACTCCATTAAAACGTTGTGTATTTCTGTTCTCAGAAGTATAATCCTGCACCATTAAACTTTTAGCCTGTCACTTATCTCCCACAGCTGCTACTCCATCCTTCCATATCCATCTAAACCAGGGCTAATCAAACACGCTCAGAAGAGAAGTCTTTTTGTAATTTCTTTGGCACCAGGTTTGATTGAGAAATTTAAATCCTTCACAAAACAGTCCAGAGTTAAGTCTTTTTCCTTGACTGCCACGTAACCAGATAATGGAACAGCAAAAACTCATTCTCCTTCTCCTGATCCTGTAACCTGATCAAAACCTTTTTTGTGCACCTCCTAAATCATCATGACAAAACCTTGATAACAGTAGAACATCATTTATAATAATAATAACGTGACCTTCATTGCTCACTCATGGGAATTCTTCTGATAACAGCAGATCTACTTCCCTCCTGTATGTGGTTCCTCTGGGAATCAAACCCAGGACTACCTGGTTTCTACTTCCAAGACAGGCGTGCTAACCGCTACAATATAGAACCATCATTTGCAAACTTCAACATATTACAGTAACATTCTCACATAACCTTAGAGAAAAATAGTGCCACTCACTTCCTGTACCACCATACACCTCTAGTGGCCAATCAACTATATCTTTTTAATAACTGCATGATTCTCGCTTTATTCTGTAATGTTAAACCCGAAGCAGTAAAATACTCTTAACGAAGTAAAACAAAAAAAAAAATACCCCCAAACTTTACAGGCAGAAACTTCTGAAACACAGTACTACTGTATTCAGCAGTGAAACAATGTTTCCACCGGTGAAACACAGTCGGATCTGTCAACCCAGCACGTTGTAAATCATCCACTCTACTCCTGTTTATGTTGGACTGACGTGGAAATGTCAAGTGGCCAAAAACCGTTTTCCAGACGACTGTGAAACACAAAGAGCTGTGACTCCTTTTCAAACAGGAGCAGAAACACATAATTACACACACCCACATCACGGGGCCCATACTGAGTGCATACACCCAAAATAACGGTCACCAGATATTTTTAGTGCGCCTTCAGCAACATAAGCAGCTCACACAGATGGGTTACAGCGTATGGATTTAGTTCGTTGTCTGTTATTATTCTGGTCACCGTGTGGATCAGAGCCTCCGGGCTTCACCGGACATTTTTGGGGCAGGACACAGTCGCCGCCTTTGTACCTCATGAGTGGGGTTATATACGTTTACAGTGAGGATGTCTCTGTGTGTGAGTGCGTTTGGGTGGGTGAGGGGGGTCCTGCCGTCACAGGGCTGACGGCAGAGCGACCGACTGGATTACAGACAGAGCCTGGCAGGCGGCTCATTACCTCACTGTAGTCTTAAATCTGAATTAACCAGGTCTTAACTCTGGAACAAAACCTCTAATCTGCTGCACAGGGAAAGTCCTGTTTATGGGCGGAGGAAGGGAAGACTGAGGAAACAAACACAAAAACTTTATACAGAGAGGAAACTGCGTGAAGTCCGGTCATTTATAGTATGTGTGAGCAAACAAAGTGCATTCAGTGGATAAATATGAACAATATCAGGGCTGTGAAACGATAACATCATTTAACCTGATTAATCACAGGGTAACAGTGAATTAATCAGGATTAAAAAAAATGAACTCCACTGATTCCACACTTGGGAAATTCTTGTGTTAAAACCAATGAGATTAGACATGATAAATCTTCATCATAATTAGCCGTGATTCGTCACGTATAATCCAGTAGATTAACAGTCCTACATATAAGACAAAATAACATCCAAGTGTTTCACAGCTGTTTTGATTTGTGACGAGTCCAAATGATGGGACTTTATATAGTTGATGGATTTAAGTCCTCACTGTGTGAGATTAGCATGTTGGCTTGAAGAATTCAGAACTTTAGCTGAGTTGTCGATCTCAACAATATCATTCAGTTTACAGTACATGTAAATCCACTGTCAGACCTAAGGTTGACGCCTCCACAAACATCGAGATGATATACACTCCTGCAGAGTGTGTAAATGATGCTTAAATACTGTGTATTACAGCACCAATCAGTGGATGGATGGTGGAATTATGGAGAAAAAAAACAGCACTTCATTTAAACCATGTGTAAAAATGCATTACATTTTTGTATCTGTTTCATAGCCCATAGCTCATAGTTGAAGCGATCATAGCATTAAAAAAAAATCACCTCATTACCAACCAAACACTGACGTCGTCCTATATTCTTCAGCAGTCTAATCATATAATGAAAGATGTCCGGCCACAAAGCTATTTCTCCAGAGCAAAATCCATCTTTATTTTTTTGTATTAAGACGTTTGGTATAAGATAATATAGAGTAACATTTCGAAAGCACAATAAAGATGACCTCAAGCTGAAGCTGCTACAAAAATATCTCCATAATCTTCACTAATGCATCATCTGGACCAATAATTACACTGTGACGGCTGATAGGACAGGTTTAGAATCTCATAGTGTATACAGTCGACACACGGTGACACATTAGTGTTAGTGTAAAAATACCACATATGGACTGGAGTTAAGCCCCAAATGGACGAATAGACGAAGCACCACTGCAGTCATATGTTGGTATTACTGCAAACGGCATTTAATGTGCTTATATTCTTAGAGGAATGTCCCACTTCTTGTGTGCAAAACACTCCACAGGAAGCCACCGGGTGAAACGCAGCTACGCTCAGTTCACTCACAGAACAGCGGGAGTGAACGATGACCTATATTCTCCTATTCTTTGATGTGTCATTTGCATTTATTACATTCACTGCGGAGCATGTAAATGTGTTGAGTGTAAGTGACTGTGTGCTCTCAGCTCTACTGGCACAAATTCACTCAAAATAATGGACAGTGGCCAGGGTCGTGTTTCAATCTCATTAAAAATTAATTTTTAATGAGATTGACATTAGAGGATGGAAATGTCTGTTTCTCTTGAATCAAAAACAGATTTCTAACATTAAGGTCCTGCTTCTGTTGCTGAACTGTGGGTTCGATTCCCAGAAGAATTTGAAGTTCAAATTATTATTATTATATTATTATTATAAAATTACATATTTTACAACTACAAAAACAAATAGAATAGTAACCAAAATGCATCCTTATTTCTGCAAGTCATTTCTCTGGACCTTAAATCTGTGTTGAAGAATTACACCACAAACAAAGCACCATAGGTTTGACTGAGGCATGTAAAGCAGGAGCAAAAGTATTGAAAAAGACACATATTTAATGATAGATAACAGTCACTGCTAAGTAAAAAAAAAACAACCTCTGTAGCGGTTAATTCACTCTTCCTTGTATGCAGACGACATTATATTTAGGACACCTTTTCACCATCCAATGTATCTCACACAGACTCTCCAAATTGATGAATTAGAAAACAATAATGAAAACAATAATTTGAGATTTAAATTATATTGTTTTGCGTGAAAACAACTGCCAACAACAACAAATCTGGCAGCATTTTTTTAACTTTGTAATTCAGTGAGGTCATAAAAATATTTTTTCAATTTATTTTGTTTATATACAACCTTTTATATATAGCTTTTCTTTTCTATACCCCATGAAGTGACAGTTGGGGTCTTTTAAACCTTTCCTACATCCCGTGTCTCCGTCTCCTCACAGGAGATACAGAAAGAAAAGAAAGGCCACTGGTACTGAACCAAAAGGTTACAGTTTTAGCCATAGGCCATGTTGCCTTCAATACATGGATGAATCAAGCATGTATGGAGCCCAGCGGGCCCCTCTTAGTCAGACAGGCTCTATTTTAAGGCGGCTACTGAAAGACTTTAAGAATAAAGAAGATGTTGCCTTCAGTATCACACAGAGGGCGGACTCTAACCGACAGCATCACTGGATAAAAAAAAAAAAAACACAACTCCAGATTAAGATTACAGAGTAGGATTCAGTCTTAGATTAGAAATCGAGCTGGGGTAGGTTTGCCCATCTGTGCTGTAGGAACAGCAACAATCAGATGTCAGCGTGACTCTGACTCATTGAAAACACTTTATTATTACTATTATGAATGTAACCGTTGTAGCCTCTGCGCTGTGTTTAAGAAAGCCGTCGTGCTGCTGTCACAAACGCCTTTATTGATCTGACGAAATTTACATAGAAGAAAATTAATTTTTCTTCTGGACATCACCCGAGCCCCTCTCTTACATTTTTTTTTTCTTCTGGACATCTTCTGGACATCACCCGAGCCCCTCTCCCACAAAGTCCGAAGCAAGAGGGAGAGGTTGGGTGTGACTGACTTTTTATATCAAAAATATATACGCGTCAGGTTTCCGCCCAGGGAGGAACAACCCACGTCCGTCAGGTAGAACAAATAAAACAATTGTGGGGAATTATAACTACATAACTATTAACCTCTGTTACATGAAGATATTAATATTCTTGTCCTTCTTCCAATCCAAGTTCTGCATTTCATACTTAACTTCCATGACTAACCAATGACTGTACTGGAATAATGATCACAGTGTTCCGACACACACACACACACAGACACACAAACACAGTGTCAAACAAAGTGCTGTTCCAAACCTGGCAGCGATGTGGCTGTAAAACAATCCTGAGTCACTGACGCTCTGAGGGAGGCAGTAACGCAGCACATGGAGCCGATGTACATCCATGGTCATTTAAAAAAATGAAGAAAAGCACCAATAAAATAAACGCAAGAGCAAATTTACGACATGCACTCCATCTCCAGCTGCTCCATGGCCTTAAAAACAAAAGCTCTTCAAATGCAGTTTAATCCCTCAGCTGCGTGGCGTAAATTACACACGGAGGCGACGGGGCATCCAGAAAGATGTTTATTCTTCTTCTGCTGCGGCCGCTGGGGCGATCAACAAAGAGCGGAGTGACAGACAGACTGGCACAGATGAAGTCACTGAGCAGTCTGTTGTCTGAGTGCATTACAGACAAGTGTGTGTGTGTGATTGTAGCACTTATGCTATTGTCATAACCCAGGGGAGATTACCTCATATCCATCTGACTCATCCTCTACCCCCCATACTACAGCTCAGTGTGTGTGTGTGTGTGTGTGTGTGTTGGGGTTATCACCCATTTCTTCCCTGCTGTTGCCACAGCCCCTCCACCACTAGGCCAAGGAAGAATGAACGTCCTGCAGTCCATAATGTGGTCATCGCCCATTGATTGATGCTCTCCACAAACACAGGAGATGAATGCACAACCATGTGTACAACACACACACCAATAGGAAGGAGTCCGCTGCGTGCTAAAGGTCCATTAGCATCAGAGGAGGCATTAACTAACACTCAGCGAGAATCTGATTCTCAGGAACACTGGCCGGGGGACAATGTATGCAGTGTTTGAATAAATCTTGTTTATGATCAGTCAGGATGTGGACAGAGGTGGACGTAATCTACACACATCTGGTTTGTATGGCCGTGAATGAACAGTGAAAATACAAGGTAAATGTACAAATTAATAATAAATACCAATTGTATGAACAACTGCTGATTCAGAATTTACGTTTGACTGCTGTGAAATCTCTGTGACTAATGGCCAACAGTTCAATTGGTGCAACTGGTGATGGAAGTTCTTCATGTCCTCTGGGCTACACTGTCCCATTTAACTGGGTTGTGTAACCTTTGGTCAGATGCAGCCTTTATGGATCACAACAAGAACTAGGACACACACACACACAGACACACACACAGGCATTACAGCAATGCAAAAAGTTCTGATTAA